TGCAGGGAGCCCAATGTGGGACTTGATCCTGGGACTCCAGGATCATGCCCTGGGCTGAAGGCAGGCACTAAACCACTGAGCTACCCAGGCATTCCCACAGGGGAGTCTACTTGAGATTCTTTCTCCCCCTCTCCCTCTGCCCCTCCCCCTACTTACGTACACACACACACACACACACACTCTCTCTCTGCCTCTCGAATCAATCATACAATCAATCTAGAAAGTGATATTGAATACTTTAAGAAGCTAGTACTTGGTAGCCTAAGTAGCTAGGTGAAGGAGAGAATGACAGGCATAGCCCTCAGCATGTGTGAATGAGCAGAAGGGGGAGGAGACAAAGCAACAGGACTGACTCATGCAGAGTGGGAGGGCACCTTGCGTCAGAATCAGTATGGGGTTCAGCACTACACCCACCAGATTCTGAGTCCCAGGAAGGCAAGATCATGTTTTGCTTTTTATCTCCAGCATGGTGCTTTGCACACAACGAATGCTTGATACAAATTTCTTGAAGTGGAATGAGCAAAATTACCTGGAGGATAATTGTTAACAACACACTTCTTGGCAAAATTTTGCCACCCTTTTCAAAATTTCACACTTTTTTGCAGTTACTTCTTTTCTTATGTACTAGTCTACCCTTTAAAATGCCGTAAAACAAACTACTGTAATCTTTTTTTCTAAAAAACATACCTTTTGGACCAGGCTGGACAAATCTGTTTGAAGAACATTATTAATATTATCAATTTGCTTATCCAAAGATGGGAGCTGAAAATTCATAAAACAAAGTATAAGGCAAGGTGGTTACTAGCAACATTATTTGTCATAAAAAAGGGAATCACCTTATATCCAAGTCCCAAAGTCCCAAATGTTATATGGTATGATTTAAATTTCTTTTGAACAACAGAATGTTATTTGGGGAAAAAGATATTTAGCTTAGAGCATACTCTAAGCTAAAGTAAGTATACACATATTCTATAGGTATTACATTTTAGATGTTTGGAGCATTCCTGTTGCAGTTGGCAAAAATTGGGGAAAGAAACTTAACACAGATCAAATGTGTGTGACCTATAATTTCAGATACTGAATACTTTTGAGTAAAATTGTAAATAACCTTTTAAAAAATATGTTTAATAATAATACAGCCAAGTGGGTGAGTGGTCTGGAATACATTTTTCATTTACAGCATTGTATATGGATTTACAGTGTTCTCTTGCCAAGACAGGGACAAACGTCATGGACCTTCTGACATGATGTGCCAAGAAGGACACAATATCACTCTTGTGATATTCCTGGCAAATATGCGTAACTCAAATCTAATCATGAGGGAACACAGATAAACTTAAATTGAAGGTCCTTCTATAAAATAAATGGTCTGTAGTCTTCCAAAATGTCAATGTCAAAAAGGAGAATAAGAGGCAGTGGACTGTCCCAGATTGAAGGAATCAAACAGACATGACAGCGAAAGACTGTGTGCGACCCTGGAGTGGTCCTTAGACCGGAGAAAGAAAAAAACAGCTATAAAGTCAGTTTTTTAGGAAAATCAGCAAAATTTGAATATAAACCATGGATGGTACTATTGGGTCAGTGTTACATGTACTAATTTTGAGAACTGTAGAAAGGTTGTGTATGGTTAGGAAATGTACTGAAATATTTAGGGGTAAAAGGACATAGTTTGCAACCTGCTGCCAAGTGATTGAGAAAAACACAAAATACATAGTATTTTATACATAGAAATGATAATGTGAGTAGATGGTAGCTACACAGGTTGATAAACAGATACAATATGATAAAGCAAATGCAGCAAAAGGCTGGCAATTGGTGACTCTGGGTAAAGAGTGTAAACAGGGTTCCTTGTACCATTCTTGCAAATTTTCTGTGTGCTTGAAAGGACACCAGAATAAAAAGTTACACCCAAAAGACCTGGTCTCCAAAAATTTTTAAATTTAATTTAATTTTTTGATCTGAAACAATTTAAATGCAAGTGAAGATCCCAGCCTCTGAAAAGCCATGCACTGGTGACCACAGTGATGGTGGTAGATCCATACATACAGAGGCTGAAGGAGAAGGATCTGCATAATATTGACCCATGAGATAGGAAATGAGAAGAGTACAGCCATACTAAAATATTGTCTTATAAAAGATGTGGCACATATACACCACTATCTTGATACATTAAATATCATGAATAGACATGATTATTTTATCTATATCTTAGCTTAACTTCTCTTTGTTGAGTTGTTTCTTTATATATTCAAGTTGCTCTAAATTCTTTTTTCCCCATAATTTTCTCTTTGGAATATGGGGAATTACCTTATTATTTAGGCATACATAGTTAATACACTACTCATGTCATTTGAAAATATATTTTAATTTTTAGAGGTCTACAAAAATGCATTCTGCTCCCTTTTTTCTTTTTAAGGCTGAATTCATTCTGATCAGTTCCACCAAATCAACTGCAGAGAACACTTAAGGAGAGGTTTCCCATTATTCCTTCTCTCCTGCTGCAGCCATGCCAATGTGGCAATTATAGAACCAGGGAGGCCAGCGGAGGCCCAGGCCACCATGCATCTGACAGGTGTCCCAATGACACTGCCCTGTAGCAGGGTCACCTCCTCACCTGACCCAGGTTGGTATTGTCATCCAGTTGGCCTAGAGACATTCTGATGTTGTTGCAAGTTGTAGCCACTGGAGGGACAGAGCACATGGGGTCATTGAGTGATTGCTCCAGGTTCCTTTTAACATCACTGAGGCTGGTGTTCAGTTGTGCAGTTGACATCTTCAGCTCCTTTAAGGTGTTGTTCACGTTCAACAGGGCTTCTCTGGTCTCTTTGATTGCTGTAGAGACACACCTTGCTTCAGAATAGAGGCACCCACTTGGCTGGCAATGGTGAAATTCCTTCTAATCTACAAAGTACCCTTAAAGAACTTGAGCTGGGCTTAGACATTGGAAGGCAACCAGAGGATCCCTCTAGGAGAATACAGGACATTGTTGGCCTCCTTGCCCTGCTACCTTAGCCAGCTCAGCTTTCCTGCCTGAGGCCTTTCAGACAAGAAGAAGGAGCAAGAACTAACCCAGCAATGCAAGGGGGACATCTAGGTGCAGCATTAACTGGCCAGCACAAAAATGGCAATGGCAGGACAAGGCATCACTACCCTAGAATTGTCCAGCTTTGAAGAGGCCAGCCCAGACAAGCTAGCACCTTCAAACCCAAATAGTTTTAACCCCACGTAAAAACTGATCACACCCAGATATAGCTTAGTTATGGAGTTTCAGAGAGCTGGAATTAAACAGAGCATGGTTTTGGATTCAGGCAAGTCTAGGTGTAGATCCCAGCCTTGCTACTCGCTGGTCACTGGAAACAGATTCCTGAAAGATTTTTAGCAATTTTCTCATCTGAAAATGGTGAAACCACCACCACATGCATCATGGAATGTGGGCATTAGAATGATCGGATTGCGATTCCTCAATGGCAGTGAATCCATCTGTTTTATTTGGGGAGCCTCACAGCCCAGGATACATTCTTATGCTAGGAAATCCTTGATAATTGTTTGCTATCCTCCTCACTTTTCTGAGGTGTAGAGCTGTGTATTCATGACCAGGGAGGTAACGAATTACAACTCTTTTCCACAGTGACTTAAAGCCACAGCAGTAGAAGATGTGAAATTTAAATCAGAGGGCACTGGTTTTCTTCTAAGCCAGCAAGTCTTCCAGGCTCACAGAACAGACGGCAGAGCATCAAGCCACACTTGGGTGTTGCAAGGAAAAGTGTGAATGCCCTTAAAAGTCAGTTTCCCCAACTTTCCCTGGCAACCTCATAAAAACTGAGTGCTAAAGCAGCACGTATATGCACACGCATGTGCACACACGCACACATATGCAATTTAATGCCTCGTGTTGTGGGATCTCGCCTGAGGTCTTATCCCAATTCTGTGATCACCTTGTTATAGCATCTTTAGCAAACTCTTACACCTCGGGGGGATCTCCTCTGTAAATTGGGAAGCTGGTTGGGTCATCTCTTGGTTACTATGAGAGCTGATGATTCTAGGCCATGTCCTGGCAGGTCTGCTCTTAAGAGGTGCATTGCCTGTGTCACCCAAGATGGCACCGCAGCCTAACTTTGATGATTTACCCTGAGACCTGAGGACGCTTCCAGGATTGGATGGTATGACCACTGGCCCCAAATTCTGTCACCTTATCTAGATATGAAATCTTAGCATCTGCTTCAGTCTTTCCTCTTGAATTGTGGTCCAGTCATGTCTTAACAGTATTGGAGATATAATATTTAAGACTCTGTCAGAGAATCACTCTGGGTGTCAGTTTTTCATCTCTTGCATCTACCTCCCAGAATTATCAGCAAAGCTGGCTCATTTTAGAGGCTCAGTGAATGTCTACTAGAAACAAAGAACAAGGTTGCAGCTAAAAACACACAACAGAATGCAAGAGAGTGTGCCAAAGTACGCCTCCCATCACACAACACACGCTTCACATTTTAATGCAGTCTACCTCTCATAGTCCTTTCCATTTTAAGATAAGGTATTTTAAGGCAAGAGACAAGCAACAACAGCCTAGAATGATGGGTGATAAAATAAATTGATGGCCCAGAATACACGTGTCCATTTAAGCACGGTCTACAGACATCCTGGGTTATGGGTAACTATTTTGTCATGTGCCAAGAAAGACTCGGAGGTAATACACATATATTTTTTTCCAAAGGCTTCAAAGTATTTGATGTCTATAAAATATCTACTGGGTTACAACTCTGGGAGTCATTCCAGACTTAGCAAGATCACATATATTATGTATCTGAAGTCAGTGGAAAGATATTTCAGATTCTCAATTTTAGTTGATTAACATTTTACCAGCTCATAGCACATTTCCTTTGTGGGTCCTGATCTGCAGCTCAAATAAGATTTACACAAATCATTTTGCATGTTTCTGCTCTCTCCAAAGCCACTAAACATGTAAAGCCACAAAGGATTTTTAGCAAAAATTTTGTCAAAGCATCAATTCTCAGCCTTTTGGCTAAGACCCAGTATAGGATCTGTTCTTAACAATTTAATATCCGATATGTCCTCTATCTGAGGACAACACATTAAATAGTTTTTTGGAGTGGGGAGACGGAATGAGAATTTCCTCCATCGGCTCCACACATTGACCTGGTATCCAGTACCTCCAGGAAGGGTGCACCCTTTCAAGGACAAAAAAAAAAAAATTGTCAAAGCAGTTTATTAATCATATTATAAGAAGTTCTGGCAACACCAGGTGGCTGAACTTTAACTTATTCAGGCTATTTAAAAAAAATAAAACTTTAACATTAATGTAGGGAAGCACTGAAGCAACAACTAAAATCTGTTTTAGTTGTCTTTAATCCAAAAAAAGGTATAATTCAAACATTAAAAATTGGGCAAATCATGGGTTAAAAGTAAAGGTACACAGCAACCACACTGCATCATTCATGTATTTTCGCACAGAATTATAGCATCACATGATTTTGGAGCTAGAGATCTTGGAAGACAAATTTTCCAAATGCCTGGAATCATCCTGTGGCTGTACGAGCTCCTGAACTCTAGATTTCTAACTCCTCCTCCAAAGTTACTCTGTGCTGTCTTGTCATGGACAGTACAGAAGCACCCTACATATTAATACTCAAATGGTGTTAGTACCCAAATACCATCTAGTGTGGACCAGGCTGCACAGGCTTCATAGTCAGACCTGCATCTGAATCCCAACTCCACCACTTCCTGGCTACCTGGTCTTGGTTACTTGATCTCTGAGCCTTACTGCCTTGAGTTGGTAAAACGGAGGTGACTGTACTGATCATACAGAACTCTTGTGAGTACTAACAGGATTTAGGAAAAGCACATGACTTGTGGCAGGCCCTTGACACTCAAAAGTTTTCTAAATATTACTTTATGGCTAATGATTTCTATAAACACTTGCTATGGCCTTTGTTGGTTGACATCTCAGAAACCATGTCACCTGACTCCTGTGCTTCAGCAGACCTGTGTTTGGATGACACGTGTCCCACCTCCCATTTGAGGAGTGGGCCCTGGATATCCTCACCAGCCCATCTCCCCTGGGTCACACTGGTCCACAGATGGCTGTGGAATCCCAGGTGGCCCAACTGGAGAGAAATCTGGTTGAGGAGGAAGAGCAATGTGGCTGGTGTTAGCCCTCTTGCAATTACAAGGGGAGTTTGTGTTAGAATGATACAGGCATTGTAGGGAACAGCTTGGTGGAAAGAATCTCACCACTAGATCAAGACTTACCTGAAGCCAGTGTTAGTTACAAGAGCAAATAATCCCCTTAGTTGAAAGCCAGATAGAGACAGATTTTCCATATGTGTTGGGGAAATGACACATGATTACTCAAGAGATGCTCCTAAGAGAAGAGCCATAACTGGAGACATTTGATTGTAAAGGTCACAGAGCCAGCCCAACTCATCATTAATCCCTTGGTGAAGTGCAAATATGTGAAACTATAATGAGGGGACATGGAGGATAATCAGCAAGAGTGATGGCGAAGACGTGAGAAGTGCAGGTTCAGTATCTTATGGGAGTGATGACTCTCCCAGTGGGCCCCCCACCTCCTTTCACAGTCTGTTCCTGTTGGTTGGTTAAATAATACCTCCTGCTAGCCACAGGACTTGGCAGGGCAGTGAGGGGCTCCTTGATGGTGTTGTCGAACTCCTGAAGCAGCTAAATTTGGAACCACCATACTCCACTTTCTTGTCGTGTGTGCTATATTTCCTGCTGTTTAAGACACTTAAAGGGTCTTTGGCATTGATATCACAACAATGGCACCTCCAAAAGATCTCTAAGTATCAGAATTATCTGCAAAATTCCCAAAGCAAATGAAAGCAGCTATAATCTGATTTGAATAGATAGATATATCCATGAAGCACATGAAGGGCAACTAAAAAAAAACCCAAAATCAAATGACTACAGACATAAAGTAAAATAAAAGATCAGGAAGCTTGTAAAGTCAAAGGAGTTGCCTAGCAACTGAAGCAGGATGATGAATGAAAGAATATAATCCATTTCTACTCTGTAATCAGCGAAGTAACAGTATCCTACACTTAGAAAATTAAGGTAAGGTCTGCCAGCCTTTATTCGTTCAAGAAAGGACAATTTGCTCCAGGCCAGACACTGTACTGGGTGTCTCCAGACACAAGCCAGGGGAATTAAGACATGAACAAAATCAACAGGTCTCGTCCTTAAGGAGCTCATTGCCTAACAAAGAGGGGCAATGCTGTAAATACTACAAATGAGCCATATTTTAGAGTCACAAAGTAAGGAACAGAAATCAGGGGGCTGTCGTGCTCTATTATGGGCAAAGGAGGAGATGAGACATGAGGAGAAGCTTGTAGACAACAGAGCACTTCGCTGTGGTCTGGTAGGTAGGTGAGATGCTGTCAGAAAGAGCCTGTGGCATTTCAGGCCAAGGAAGCACACCCAATACAAGGGTCTGAGAGAGAATTATGCCTGCAGAGATCTGCAGAATAAACACTGAGATTCATGGCTTGGAAGGAAAGGTTTAGGGGTTAGAGGGTTGAGATGGGAAGTGGACTAGAAGGATAGGCAGGGGCCAGGTATGGAAGGAAGGAAGGAAGGAAGGAAGGGAAGAAGGGAGAAAGGAAGGAATGAGGAAAGAAGGAGCTACATGTAAAAATCTAAGAGGAAGGCAAGAGGCATGGGTATTTGCAGTCACATCCCTTCTGTGGGCCTCAGTTTCCTTGCATTGGAAAGACACGGTTGGTGATGAGGAGAGCAGGGGCCAGGGAGGTATCTAAGGCATCCATGGCAGAGGACGCATCTTCCAGGTGTAGTAGTTCCACTGCTGGGTCAAGGTGAAGAGCAAGGGATGACTAATCAGTTGGTTAAAATTAATTTTACCAACTCCTGGCCTGTTCTGTGTACCATTTATTTTCGTACATCCATCTGAGTCTTTTAACTCTACGGAGGGGATGAGGGTGGCAGGGAGGAATGCCAAAAGGAACAGGTTTAACTTTCCAGCTTCTACACAAGTCCTTCCTTTGTGGACTGTTTTGTCGGGAATCCTGGCTCACGACAGTAAAATTCACAGTGGCAGGATGACAAATGCGATACGTAGATGAAATTATTCTATCAGATGCTGAACACAGATATCACCTCAACATTTGGAAGAGTCTAGGAGTCTTATTTTCATTGCAACTGAATATGTTGTTTCTTAAAATCAGCACATCTGCTCCCTTAAATCATCAACAGTGGGTCTGAAGATACCTCTCTATATTCCCCTTTTCTAAAAGTTGTTCTTTCCAATGTGGGGCGCGGGGCAGGAAAGAGTAACCAATAGACATATCCAGAGACCTAAAATTCTCTAGGTTACTCATCTTCTATAGCAAAAGTCGACAACCCTTTTCTGCAAAGGGCTGATGGGAAATATTGTAGGCTTTGTGGGCCACAGGGTCCCTGCTGCAACTATTCGTAACTCTGTGGGCAGTCACCGTGTGGAAGGAGCCTCAGATGCCAGCTAGCCGGACAAACACGGCTGCCTTCTGATAACTGTCTTTACAGAAACAGGTGGCAAGCTCCTATCACATTCTGCTGTGATTACTTCAAAGGACTTTTAGACAATTAGTACAACCTCTTTGGCAGAAGCTTTTTTTAAAAAAAAAGAAAGAAAGAAAGAAACAACAAACCAAACCAAAACACTGCGAGGCTGTGTGTCTCTAACTGGTCTGTTGGCATGCCCACATCTGGGGAACAGAAGAAAGGGGAGCGTGATCCTGGGAAGCCAGAGACTTCCAGGGCAAACACTCTTGTGTCCATTCCTAGCACAGGACTTACATTCAGCCATGGCCTTGATGTCATCAAGCACGGGGATCACTTTGGGTCTCAGCTGGTCATGAATTCCGCCTCCTAGCAATGACTTAATATCTAAATTCAAAGAAGCAGAAGGGGTTGTAAGGGTAGGCTCCACAAATTTCCCCTTTTCACCTGCATTTTCCTCCTGCTGCAGGAATTCCTCCCTTGGAAAGCCATCTGTGGTCTCTCCTGCCCCCTTGTCATCCTTGACCTCAAGTATGTGTTGATTTCTGGGGACATGTCTTCCTGCTATTCAAAGTCCCCCCACCAGCAGTCCTGGGTACAAAGGCAGTCAGCACGGACTGGGTATTTAACGTTACAGGTGCCCCCCCCAACCCACCCCACCTCCGCTTTCCGAAAGTTTTTTTGTCATCTCTGACAATTTTCTTTTCTTTTGTCATCTCTGCCTTTACGGAAGAACGAACATTAGTACCAGTTTTCACTAACATAAAGGATTCTTGCTTTCATGAGGAAAGGAGAAAAGTGAAAACATCTCTCCTTGCTGATTTTGCAGAGACAGCGAGACTGGCGCCCCCAAGCACCTTCCCCGGGAATCACACCCAGCATGTCAGGGTCGAGCACCAGAGTTCTGTGCTGTCTGTGAGCATCTCCACCTACTGTGTGCATTCGTTAGCAAGATGTGTCCGATGGTAACCAGAAAGCCTAAGAAGGGTGATTTGGGGGTTATGGGAAGGCTCCAAAAATCTTCCATATAAATTAATGGTAATTGTTTCTTTTCTTTATGCCATTTTGTGTTACGAAAGTATTCACAGGAACGCTCAGTTTTCGGATGGCAGGAACGCTCAGTTTTCGGATGGCAGGAAATACTAGGAACACGATGTTTATAATGTGGAGTCATACCTGCTTGTGTCTCCAATCTCCTTGCAAGACCAGAGTTTCCCAACTATGGCACTATCAGTGTTTTGAGCTGGAATATTATTTCTTGTAGGGGCTGTCCTGTGTGTTGCAAGGTGTTTATAAGCATCTCTGGTCCCCCGACCAACAGATGCCAGTAGCACTGTCCCCAGCCTCACCCACTGGGACAACAATGTCTCCAGATGTCACCCAAGGTTGTCTTGAAGGCAAAACAACCCCTGGCTGAGAAGCCCTGAGCAAGAGGCTGTGGACATACAGGGACCAGAACTAGCCATCCCTCTATCTCTGAAGCCCGCTGGTTTCTCTGGGGAGCCCATTTCTGTCTGTCACCATGGACCTGACAGAGATTCATGTCCCCTGTCACACAGAGAAGGAAAAACAAGCACTGGTGACCACAGAAAAATCCAAAGTATTTTTACAATAAAGGCTGGCTTTTACTCATTGGGTAGCAAGCAGCAAACCTTCTCTAA